CTGAGGGGAGGGGATGGTCCTGGGGCACACTACACTGGGGCCACCTTGGAAGGATGGCTGATGTTGGGGCAGACACAGATGGGGGAACCCAGAGTACATGGTGCCGGGCCAACTTTGGGGGAAGCTGTAGATGGTGGGGGCCAAGTGTCTGGGGTGTGCTGGGGTGGCCTTGGTAGGCCAGCTAGAGTGCCTAGACCATGTTCCCACCTGTGCTATCAAGGGGAAGGGAAATGCAAAAATGACACTCTCTCGTGCCTCCAACTCTGGAGAAAATTACAGCAGTGACCCACTCATTTGGAAGATTTGCTACAGTTAGTAAATGGATTTCCTTAATGTATAGTCTAGGTGACTTTTAAACCACTGTTTTATCGTTGTGCCCCCCAGGTTGGGCTAGTCTGTGCATGGACTCCTCAGTGATATCCCTCCCTACTGCAGTTTGCCACATCAGGGGTGGGGTTCCTGTCTGCAACATGTCTTCATCTTTCCTACCCACTGTTAGGTGGTCCCTCTATCATTTGTTGTACAGAAGCTGTTCAATCAGCCCTTAGTTCTTTAGGAGGAGTTGTTCTATATGTATGTGTAGATCCAATCTGTCTATGAGAGGAGGTGAGTTCAGGGTCTTCCTACACAGCCATCTTAGGCCGAAAGCCTCTCATATTCTTTTCTGATTTCCCTGTGAGTTCACCTCTGACCCACAGGTTGTTTTATTGTGTGTTATTTAAATTCCACAAATTGGTGAAGTTTCTAGTCTTCCTTCTGTTATTGATTTCTAGATTCATCCAATGGTGGTCAGAGAAGATGCTTCATATGATTTTATTCTACTTAAATTTATTGAGACTTATTTTGTGGCCTAATACAAGGTCCTGGAGAATGGTCCATGCACACTTGAGAATAAGCATATCCTGTTGTTGTTGGGTGAAGTAGTCTATGTGCTTCTGTTAAGACAAGTTGGTTTTAGAGTATTGCTCACATCTTCTATTTCCATACTGATGGTGATGGTTAATTTTATATGTCAAATTGGCTGGGCCATGGCACCCAACTATTTGGTCAAACATTATTCCTGATGTCTCTGTGAAGGTATTTTTTGGATGAGATTAACATTTAAATCTGTGGAGTTTGAGTAAAGCTTATTACCCTTTATAATGTGGGTGGGCCTCTTCTAATCAGTTGAAAGTCTTACTAGAACAAGGACTGACTTCCCCTCAGCAAGAAGAAATTCTTCCAACAGACTGCTTTTGGACTCAAGCTGCAAGTCTTCCCTGAGTCTTCAGACCTCTGGCCTACCCCATGAGCTTTCGGATGCACCCATCTTCCACAATCACAGGAGCCAATTCCTTAAAGTAAATATATATATTTACTTTGCTTTAAGTAGGTAAGTAAATAAATATATAAATTTATAATAGGAATGTATAATTGGAATAGACATACTCAGAAACTGGCAGAATCCCCGCATTGGTTTCCTGACTTGTGAACTGAGAGCTGTTCTGATAGGAAAGGCAAAGTGAAAGCCACTAGAACCACTTCTACCTAAAAAAATAGTAAACCATGAGTAATTCTGCTTTCACAGAGGAACTACATAGATTAGTGCCAAGAACTTGAAAGATGCCGGGGTGGTGATTCCCATTCCCAGTCAACTCACCTATTTGACCTGTGCAGAAGACAGATGGGTCTTGGAGAATGACAGTGGATTCTCAGAGTTAGGCTTGCTTACAGTGGACAGTAAGCTTAGCCAGGTGGTGACTCGAATTGCAGCTGGTGTACCAGATGTGGTTTCATTGCTTGAGCAGATTAACTCATCCCCTGCTAGTGATCTGGCAAATCCTTGTTTCTCCATCCCTTTTAAGAAAGATCACTGGAAGCAGTTTTCTTTCAGCTGGCAAGACCAGTAATACATTTTCATTGTCCTATTTGAGGGGTATACCAACTCTCACCTGTATGCCATAACTTAATTTGCAGGGATCTTGGTCACTTTTCCTTTCTACAAGGTACCACGTTGATTCATTATATTGATGACATTGTGCTGATTGGACCTACTGAGCGAGTAGTTGCAACTATTCTAGACTTACTGGTTAAGACATATGTATGTTAGAGGGTGGGAAATAAATCCAACAAAAATTCAGGGACCTTCTACCTCAGTGAAATCTCTAGGGGCTTGATGGTGTGGGGCATGGTGAAATATCCTTTCTAAGGTGGATGATATGTTGTTGCATCTGGTCCCTCCGGCAACCAAAACCAAAAACCCAAAAAACCTAGGCATAATGCCTGGGGGGGGTCTCTTTGGATTTTCGAAATAGCATGTTCCTGATCTGGGTATGTTACTCTAGCCCATTTACCAGATGACCCAAAAAGCTATGAGTTTCGAGTAGGGCCCAGAACAAGAGAAGGCTGTACAATAGGTCCAGGCTGCTGCACAAGCTTCTTTGCTGCTTGAATCATGTGATCCAACAGATCCAGTGGTGCCTGAAGTGTTAATGGCAAATAGTGATGCTGATTGGAGACTTGGAAGCTCCCTATATGTGAATCACAGTGAAGGTCCTTAGGATTTTGGAGCACAGCCCTGTCATTGGGGATAATTACTCTCCTTCTGAGAAACAGCATTTGACCTACTACTAGGCCTTGGTAAAGACGGACACTTAACAATGGGCCACCAAACTACCATGCTGTAAGCAAAGGAAAAACAAAAATGGGTTATTGAAGAAAGTAGTTATAAATACCAGCTATGACCATATACCAGTTACAGAAACGAGAAGCAAGGACTGTAATTGTCAAGAGTATTTTTTTCTCATTTTGTTATGAGTGCATTTGTGTGTGTTTGTGTGTATGTGTGTGTAGTGTGTGTGTGTGTATATATTTATATTACATATATCATATCTCCAATATCTTTGTTTTCTTCCATCTCGTATCCTCTTGTTATATAACATAAGACATACTGACTGTGACATTAAACTAAAAAGCTTCTGCTCAGCAAAAGAAATGATCAATAAAATGAATAGGCAAACTATGGAATGAGAGAGAATATTTGAAAATCATATATCAGGTAAGGGGTTAATATCCAAAATATATACAAGGAACTCATACAACTCAATAGCAAAAATACACAAATAATACAATTTAAAAATGTGCAAAGGGGGCTTCCCTGGTGGCGCAGTGGTTGAGAGTCTGCCTGCCGATGCAGGGGACACGGGTTCGTGCCCCGGTCCGGGAGGATCCCACATGCCGCGGAGCGGCTAGGCCCGTGAGCCATGGTCGCTGAGCCTGCGCGTCCAGAGCCTGTGGTCCACGACGGGAGAGGCCACAACAGTGAGAGGCCCGCGTACCGCAAAAAAAAAAAAAAAAAAAAAATGTGCAAAGGACCTGAATAGATATTTTTCCAAAGAAGATATTCAAATGACTAATAGGTACATGAAAAGTTGCTCAAATCACTAATCATCAGGGAAATTCAAATCAAAACCAGAATGAGATATCACCTCACACTTGTTAGAATGGCTGTTATCAAAAGACAAGAGATAAGTGCTGGTGTAGATGTGGAGAAAAGATAACCTCTGTGCACTGTTGGTGGGAATGCAAATTGGTGCAGCCACTATGAAAAACAGAAAAGAGGTTTCTCCAAAAATTAAAAATGGAACTACCATATTATTCATCAAGTCCACTTCTGGGTATATATCCTAAGGAAATGAAATAATCATTTCAAAGAGATATCTGCACCCCCATCTTTACTGCAGCATTACTTACAATAGCCAAGATGTGGAAACAACCTAAGTGTCCATTGACAGATGAATGGTTAAAGATGTGATATATATTTATATCACAATGAAATATATGCAGGAGGAAATCCTGTCATTTGGAACAATATGGATGAAACTTGGGGGCTTATACTAAGCGAAATAAGTCAGACAGAGAAAGACAAATATTGTAGGATTTCACTCATATGTGGAATCTAAAAAAAAGCAACAACTCATAGAAAGAGAAAAAAGATGGGAGGTGGCCAGAGATGGGGGTGGGGGGTAGGGGAAATGGGTCAAATAAAATAGGTATCCTTGCATCCCAAGTGCTATAGAGATCCAGAGACTCCCCTACAATTTCTGTGAATTCCCAGGGTCTTACAGCTCAGATCTCTTGTTCTTCCTGAACTCCCCATCTCACTGAACTCTATATTTCTCTCCTATATGGCACCTGCCCCCACTCACCCCACTCCCTACACACATGCATGATCTGCTGCTGCAGATCAAAGTCTGCTTTCCTTTAATTCCACAAATATTATCGGCATAAGACCATTGCGTATAGCAAACTCTTACCAAAGGTTCTGTGGTTGGTACACATGTGCTTGTTTATATGTTATGCCTTCACACAGGATGGATGGGACGTTAAGATGAGACTTCTTTAAAAAGTCCTTGGCATATAAGAAGTCAGCCTTGAACGTGTATCGGCTGACTCCTTCCCAATGTCCCTGGCCTCCAGCTGCATTACTGGTTCCCCTCTCCAGGCCCCTCTTCCTCACTCTCCCGCACGGAAATCGTTTTCATAATCAAATAATTCCCAAAGAAGGAGTCCTTTCAGGAGAGGTATAGGGACATGAGAGGGAGTGGTGGCAGGTGGGACTTGCTCTCCGTTACCATGGGGATGACCAGGGGATGAACTGCTTAGATTTTGACTCCACGTGAGAAGAAGTGTCTGACCACAGGCTGCACAGATTGCCTTTGCAAGTTATTTCCTCATTACTATGTGGAGCAGAGGGGAAATAAAGCCAATGCTGAATATTCTCTTGCCTGGGATGCTTCAGAGCAGTTCTGGGGAGAGAAGAGACTGGACTGCAGGTGACTTGCTTGAGGCCACACAGTGGGTTGGGAGAGGGGCTGTGATGTTGGGGGATAATTCCTGAGTTTGTTTCATGAGTCCAGACTCTGTCCCTTGATTAGCTGCGTGACCTTTTATAGGTCACATAATCCCTCTAGGACTCATGTTTCACATCCGTAATGTGGTTTTGTATGCAGTGACCTGACTTTCTTGAGTGTGTGGGAGTGAAGTCGAACCTGCAGGCTATAAGGCCTTGAATACTGGTTCCCAGGACAAGGTAAATACCAATATTTGCATTGGGGATGTGGGGAGTTGACACTTTTCACTCAGAGCTTTGTTCTTTGCCCACAGCTTCTTAGTTAGGCAACTGACAGTTGACATTTATTGAAAATGAGAAAGGAAATTTGAGTCACTGAAGAGGGTAGGAAGAGGAGACAACCAGTATATCCAGGAAGGCCTAGCCCAGCCTTGCTATAAAAGCACGACTTCTGTGCCTGACCACAGGCTGGCATCGATGAGCAAAGCTATTTGGGGCAGAGCTGTTGATCCAGGAAAGCGGCAAAGTGTGGGTGGATGATGTGTGTGAAAACACAGAGTGGGGACTCCCCACCGCATTGCCAGGCGGGTCCTGAAGCGATGCTGTTTGTTCATTTAGTCTATAATTATTATTGAGTGCCTACTGTGGTGCTGGGAGCTCAGTGCTTATTATGATTCAGCAAAGAAGGTAGTGGGAGCACAGAGATGATAAAGTTCAATTCCAACCCTCAAGGGGCTGACAGTCTTCAGGGAGAAACTCAAAGGACCCTATTAGAAAAAGGAAATTGCAGTTGTGAGCATAGAAGCAACCTCCATTGGCCTGAACACTCAGAGAAGTTTTCAGAAGTAAAGAATGTGAAGGCAGCTGACAGGTCACCACAAGTTTGCTACTAAGAAACAGTTTGAAGAATGTGCTCTTGGCAGGAAAATAGCACGCAGAGACACAAAAGGGCAAACAGCTCAGAATGTTCAGGAAGGCAGAGGAAGTCTCTGTTACCAGAAGTGACAAAGAGCCTTGACATGCTTTGGAAAGAGTTTTGGTTTTGTTTTGGCCTGTCAGCCTGGCTCTCTGCCGGGGTCATTCCTCCAGAACTAACCTCTTAGCCAATGATCAGCAAATGTGGTCACAGTTTCCTTATTTCCAGGCCTGTCTGGATAGCATTTTTCTTCTCTGTGTCATCTGCAGCTGAGCAGGTAGCCAGACATGAAGCCCCTGCTCAGGGGCTTAGGCCTCTGCTGGGCCTCCCAGGTTCTGGGCTGCATTTGCCTCCTGCAGGGTAAGTGGTTCAGGATCCCTGGGAATGTATGGCAACTGAGTGGAGCCAGGATACAGGGTCCTGACCATCTGGAAGGATGTTTAAGCTGCCAGGGCCTAGGAAGCTGAGCCACAGTGGACAGCTGAGACAATATGATCCACTCTGACAATCCCTCACTATTGCACCCACCACGTTTCATCTCAGTCACTCTGATTCCCACCCTGTCTTCCAAAAGACTCTCTTCCCAGCAGCAATCTTCTCAGAAGGCTGGCAAATGGAAGGGTGCCTCCCTTTCTTTCCTGCCTTTGGGGAATAACAATTGCTCTGTACACAGAATTCTGAATCCACTCTGTTATTCAGCTTTTCTGAAAAAACTGCCCAAATAGCTATAGTGGGGCTCTGGACCCCCTTCAGATCTAGGATTTAAGGAAGAAATGAGCTTCCACCTTAGAATGGAAATCTGCAATCAGGCTGCCACAAAATTGGAGAAATACTTATAAATCATAAATCTCATAAAGCATGTTTATGGCACCAAATTTTTTTGTTTTGGAAAATAGTTATTTTTTCATTAAAAAGTGTTATTTACTTAAACATGTAGTGGTTTCCTAACAAATTACCACAAACTATGTGAATTAAAATAGCACCCTCCCCCCTCCCCCCCCCCCCCCCCCCCCCCCCCCCCCGCATTTGTTATCTCTCAGTCCTGTAGGTGAGAAGTTTGACACATCTCGGCAAGTTCTCCCAAAGCTGAAATCAATGTTTCAGCAGACAGCATTCTCATCTGGAACTTTGGGTCCTTCTCTAAGCTCATTCTTACTGTTGGAAGAATTCAGTTCCTTGTGGTTATAGGTCTTGCTACGTGTTAGCCAGAGATGACGTTCCGCTGCTAGAGGTCATGCTCAAGTCCTTCCCCAGGGACCCCTCCGTTGGAGCAAATGAAGAACCTCTCATGCTTTTGATCTCTCTGTTCCTCTTTTTCCACCCTCTGGAGAAAACTCTTGTTTTTGAAGGGCTCATGTGATAAGGTTAGGCCCTCCCAATCATCTCCCTTCCTTAAAGCTACATAATCTAATCAAGAAGTAAAATCGATCATGTTCACAGTTGTGGGGATTAGAGTGAGAAGTCTTGGGAGCCAATTTAGAAATATATATATATATATATATATATGATTTATATTTGTATTTATGTTACATTAAATATTTAATTTTTTTCTACACAAGAACTACAAAAACATGCAGAATATCCTTCCCGTCTTCTCTCTGCCACTCTCCTCGCAGCTGCACCCATATGCTCAGGTAGCTGGTACCTGACAGTGGCTGGGAAAGTCAGCTGCTCTCAACACAATACAACAAATGTCTTCTTGAAGTCAGTAACTTGTTGAACATAAAGGTTCTGACGGCACCACAACTCCTGCCTGTGCAACAGGGTATGCAGATGCACGGCTCCCTGGATTTGAACCCTCCATCTGGTCTCTGGGGAGGAGCCCCTGAGAGGGGTGCCTGGTGGAGAAGAAAGGGCACTGGCTGGGGAATTGGGAACACCGGTTATGTCTATGGTCTTTGTCAAGTAATAATAACAGTGATAGCTTTATTGAAGATTGTTTGGACCAGACTCTGTGCTCAAAGATTTATAAAGAGTTTTATTTTAGAAAAGACGCTTTGGCAGCCATGCCAAACATGCAGGGGCTCTTTACATGACATAAGAACTGATGAAGAGCTAGGTGTGAAGAGTTATGGGCCTGGGGCCTGTGAGAGTCTCTATTTCCAGGAGAGCCTGGGGATGCAACCAGCAATTGCTCTATGTTGCTCTAATGGCGTATAGAACGGGGCCAGTGGAGGATAATTTGCATCAGAAATTCGTAGGCAACTTTTGGCTGCATGGGAGGTCCAGAGACTCTTAGAGGTCTTAGGGAAGTTTGCTAAAGTGTCTACAGTGAAGGAGAGTCTGGGGGCACGAATAGGATTGCCTGTTGTATCGCAATTTGCACAGACTCTAGAGCAGTTTCTTGTAAGGGGCCACATTCAAGGTGGGCCGATTTGTGAGTAACAGCAGAAATGGGCTTAAGTGAAATTTGTAAAGACATTACACATCGCTTCTAGACCCCCAAAAGGCCTAAAAGATTCTGGGCTTGTGTTAATGTCATGAGTACTGAAAGGGTAAATAGTTGTTTCTTGATAGTGCCAAGGATGGAGCTACCCTTGACTTCCCAAATAATTTTTAGAAACTTAACCAAAGTGGAAGGGTCTTGTAATGTGTGTGGGACAATGGTCCACCTCTTTGTGAGCTCCTTTGTGAGGATCTGTAGGTCCTGAATGAGTGTGTCAAATGATTTAGCAATCTCACTTCTGGGTATATATCCAAAAGCATTGGTATCAGGACCTTGAATAGATACCTGCACTCCTGTGTTCATTGCAGCATTTTCCACAATAACCAAAATATGGAGACAACCCAAGTGTCCATCAACAGGTAAATGGATAAAGGAAATGTGGTATATGCATACACTCACTGGAATATTATTCAGCCTTAAAAAAGGATGAAATCCTACTATTTGTGATAACATGGATGCACCTGTAAGACATTATATTTAGTGAAATAAGCCAGTCACAGAATGACAAACACTGCATGATTTCACTTATAAGGTACCTAAAACAGTCACAAAGTATAGAAGACGACAATAGAATGTTGGTTTCCGGGGGTTGGGGGTAGGAGAATATGAGGAGTTGTTATTCAGTGGGTGTAAAGTTAGACTTACACAAGATGAGTATGTTCCAGAGACCTGCTGTAGAACAGAGTGCCTATAGATAACAAGAAGGTATTGTGTACTGAAAATTTGTTAAGAGGGTAGATCTCATCTTTCTTACTTTGCATACACACACGCACACACACACACACACACACACACACACACACACTAAAAGGGCACAAGAAAACTTTTAGAGGTGATGTTTGGTAATAAACATTACCTAGATTGTGGTGAAGGTAACACAAGTGTGTACATATGTTCAAACTCACCTATTTGTATTTATTAATTATGTACAGTTTTTAATATCAATTATACCTTAGTAAAGCTGGAGGGGGCAAGTCAAACATCAAAAATGGAGTCAGACTCTCTATTACAGGGAAGGTTAAAACCCCCTGCCCTTTCTTAGCCCAAAGAAGGCTCTGGCTGCTCCTTGGTATGAACTCTGACAGAAAATCTTCAGCTAAAAGTCATGTATGTAGCCTTCCTGAGTCATGTAAATGCAGCTAAATGCAGCGTCAACAGGGTCCTTCAAGGCTTAGAGAGACTAATCAGAAAGGTACTTACTCCTGCTTGAGAAAAGGCAAAAGTTAGTTGCTGAGAGGTGGGACAAAGTCTTGGTCTATGGCGGTGGGCACACGAGTGGGTCCTGCTCAGCCTCCATGGTTGTGCCACTCCCGGGGAAATGGCCCTGTGTGGACCAGAAGGTGATTTCTCAGAGCTCTGGTAATAGCTGTAGTAGTGACTTCTTAGGGAGTTGCCAGTGAGCGTGTCCAAGGAGTTGGCTTTTTCCCGCTGTAGGGAAGGGCTCTGGAGCAGCTGCACAGGGACCTCAGCTTTCACCGCCATGCCCAGGCCTTGGCCTTTAGGGACAGCCTTGTCACCCTTACCCTCCACCATAGACTGCAAGAAATTCATGAGCGCCTTCAGACCACCTTTGCTGCTTCACCTCCCTACTCTTTGTCCTTAGAAGAGAGACCTAGACTCCTAACCCACGTGACTCCGTGGGGTTGCTGTAACACTGCCCACCACAGCCAGAACCTCTTCTGCCTCAAGCCTACTGCTCTCCCACGTCTGCCATGGGCCAAGGGCTGGGAAGCAGTGAGGGCAGAAAGAGCTCTCACTCGGAGGGCCCTGGCCAGACTTACGTGGGAGAGAGGGCACTTCCTCGGTGTGACTCTTGGAAAGGGCAACTGCTACTCATGACTCAAGAGTCACTCATGGCTGCAAGAGAGCTTGTAACCTAATCTGGCTTCTGCACGCCAGAAAGATTCCCTCAGCAGACAGAACATCCCACCTCAGTTAACACATAAAACTGGGACAGGCTAGCTTGAATTCCTCTTCCTCAAGACAGTAGTGACCTTAATATAGTGAGGATCCTGTGGACACATAATGGAGGGAGCTGGAGCTCAGAGAGGGTAAGTGTGGACTTCTGTGCCCTCCTGTTACTGATATGTGAGCACCAGGGCCTTGGACCAGCTGGGCCATTTGTGTCATGACTAGTTTGGAGGGACCATTCCCATTCAGCTAATCTCATCCATCTCTTCTCAGTCTATCTCCATGGACCCATGTCAGGGTGTACAGCTTTTATTGAGGGCATGCTCTGCCTGGCAGCATGATGAAAGTACTGATAAAACTGTCTCCTGGACTGCACAAGCAGCAGGAAGTTGTGGGATGTGGACCAGAACAGACATAAGGAAGAGCCTTGAATTTGGAAGGAGGCTGACCTGGATAGCTCAGGTACAAATGGGCACTATGCTGACCCCACTGATGTAGGTCCTGAAGGTGACCCCTTCAGATCATATCGAGGGGAGCTGAAGGGACTGGGATGCTTCAGCCTGAGGAAGCAGTCCACAAGACATCTCCCTCATGAAGTCTTTCCTGATTGCACCAGCCAGAAGTAACCTCTCCCTCCTCTGAACTTCATTTTATCTTTTTTTCTACATAAAGTTTTCAGGCATTTTAGCCTCGTGATGACACAGCTCCATATTGGGTCTCTACCCATCAATGTGAATGTGACTCCCTAGGGCGTGGTCCCCAGAATCTTTTGAACTTTAGGTCTAGAGACCTTTCAGCTCTAAATTTTTAAACCCAACTGTACTGACAGTTCCCTTTGTGTATCTCAAGTCATCTCACGCTCAATAGGTTCAACATTGAGCACCTAAGCCTGGTCTTCCTTGAGTGTCTCCCACCCTATAGTCAATGATGCATCCATACTATCATCCTTGACACCTTTTTCTACCTCAAGTCCATAGCCAACCCATCAGTGAGTCTTGCCAATTTTATTTTTTAAATATCTCTTAATGACATTAGATTTACAAATATCTTTTACCTATTTATTTGCTCAAGATTTCTTCTTTTTCCCACTCCCTTATGTCTGTTATTTCTTCAAAGTGTTTATTTTTGCATTATAGGCTTGATTCCTTCCTTAATCCTTTTGAGCAGTTAGTCCACACACGTACCCTGATGTGGAAGTCTCCCCATGAATCAGTTTAGTATTTGCCCCAGCTTTGGTCTTTATAAGCGCCACCTGTTTTTAAGATAGCTTCTGGGCTCTGATTTCTAGCATGTAGTTAGAATTCACATCCACACCCACACACAATGAAGGCTTGGATTCCAATTTCTCACATTCCTCTCATGGAACAGGGCAGGTTGCAGCCCCCATGCTGGTTTCCCATGACAGAAGACAGACACTTTCTTACCCTAATTCACCCAGCCTCTTATCCTTTTGCAGCATCCCTACAAGCTCAAGGCCACGCTTACACTTCATCCCCACTTACAGACATGTAACATTGGCCTCTAAGGTATATTTCTGGTTCTGATAACCCACTGGGACACCAGAACTTCAAATTCCACTCAGCTCTTCAACACTGAGTTCCCTTTTGTTTCTGAACTTAAGTGGCATAATTAAAACATTTTAATTACATTTAATCAAGTTTTGTGTGTGGTTAGACTATAAGAAGGAACTCCTGAGTCAGTTCATGTGCCTTCTACTCTGGAGGATTCCAAAGTATTTTTTCCACTCCTGTAATCATTGGTCCCACACCCTCCAACACTTGGGGCTGAGACAGCCATGCTCAAGGCAGAGGCCAGAACCCCGCTGAGAATGTGCAAATCCGTGTTCATCTTTTGACTTCCAAAATAGGCAACAGCCGTATTTTATTGACAGAACAAAAGAGATTTGTGTGCTCCCAAACCAAGATTATAGACTAAGAGAAGGGAGTTCATTTGGCAAGTCACAAACTAAAAAGATGCCAGGTAGGACATGTGGGCGGTTTTATATATCTTTCTGAAATTAAGTAATCATTAAAAATGCATAAAGGGGGCTTCCCTGGTGGCACAGTGGTTAAGAATCCGCCTGCCAATGCAGGGGACACAGGTTTGAGCCCTGGTCCGGGAAGATCCCACATGCCACGGAGCAACTAAGCCCGTGCACCACAACTCCTGAGCCTGTGCTCTAGAGCCCACGAGACACAACTACTGAGCCCGCGAGCCACAACTGCTGAAGCCTGCGTGCCTAGAGCCCGTGCTCCACAACAAGAGAAGCCACCGTGATGAGAAGCCCACGCACCGCAACGAAGAGTAGCCCCTGCTCGCCGCAACTAGAGATAGCCTGCACGCAGCAATGAAGACCCAATGCAGCCAAAAATAAAATAAATAAATTTATTTAAAACAAAATGCATAAAGGATGAGACTGTAATTAAAACTTAAACAGAATGTGACATGCCATTCCCTAGGGGCTCAACAGAAGAAGGCTATGTGGCAGGGGTGAGGAACCAGCCAGGTGATAGGAATTCCAGATAAGATGAGTCGGAATGCAAAAGCAGAAGCCGCTTCGGTCCTACTTCCTTCTTCTTTGGGAGGGTAGTACCTCCTCCTAGGGAGTCATGTTTAGTAAACCGGGCCATGTGTGTTTGTGTGTTTGGGCTTTAAAGGGCCTCGAGAAGTGCTACAAGTTCCCCTTAGCTTGTGTTCCATGTTGGGGAGGTTCAGACGTTCTCGTGGGCTCCTATAGGGGACATGAGGTGCTGAGAGGGGCCATGGGCCAGAAGGTGCCTGAGTCCAGAAATAAGAAAGGTCAGAGTGCAGCGACCTCGCTACAGAGGAGGCCATGGCAGGGACCAAGGACGTTACCAGCGTCGCCCACACTAGCCCAAGACAAGCAGGAACAGCCACATCAGCAGCAGATGCGGCAGAGGGTAGAGAGTGAGATCAAAAGAGCAGGGCAGACTTCCTTGGCAAAGGCGCACAAGGATCACAGAGAACAGCAAAATAAACTGAGCTCTCTTCCCCACTCTGCAGGGACAGGGAGTGAAGGAGGAGCAGTAGGGAAGATGGAAGTTGGAGGCAACAGGAAGGACCTTCCTTGACTCATCCTGTTGTGGAGATCTAGCACTTGGGTTCTCTGGGTATGGTAGCGTTTAGGCTACTGGCTCTTTTTCTCATGGGGCATTGTCATAGTTTCCTTGGATACCTCTCCTCTCCCATGCTGGGGATCTCACCCACCCTGTCACAGGTGACACTCTCAGGATGACCACCTATATTTTTCTCTATGGTTGCTGGTTTTGGCTGGTCCATTTCCACATGGACCAGCCAAGATTCTCTTTGTTGGGAATCTGTCGCCTCTCCAGATGCCCTTCTTGTCAAAGTTCTTTTAAGGCCCTACTTCTACTTGATAAAAATCATGTTCATTTCACTCATCAATGCCTTTGCAATTTCTTCCCTATTGGCAGCCAATATTTTACTACTATAAGCTGTTTCTGAAGCATTTTATCCCTTCAGTTTCTCAGGTATAAGTCAGACACTTGTCCAGTGCATCCCGAAGCTGCAGGGGACACACATCAAGTTCTCAGAATCATCTCACTGAAGCCCCTATCACCATGTTGAGGTGAGAGGTAGGCACCCATCAGGTTAGAGAGGGACTCACAGCAGCACAGCTCTCTCCAAATAAAATCTCTTTCTGCTTATCTCCAAATCCTAAACTTTGTATGTCTTCAGTTTGGGTGAGAGAGGGTTAAGACTCTCAAACCAGTTTTCAGAACCTTCTTTAAAAATTCTACCCATGGGAAGTATTTGCCCAAGAAGTTTCATTATACCCTCTGTGTGCTATGGAGACTGTGAAGGTTCTGATAATGTGGAGGGCAAGCAGGTGTGATTTCAGCCGTGTGTGGTGACAGTTGGGGGTACGGGTAGTGAAGAGAGTTGATAGACTGGCTGCCTTCCCTTCTCTAAAACTGAGATTCAGTATCACTTTCTCATTATATAATTTTGCAAACTATTTCACGTCTCTAGGCCTCAGTTTCTTTGGCTGTGAAATGCCCTGCCTTCCCAGCTGACTGCTCAGAAACTACATGATAGTGGGTGAGTAACATGCTCTACAAATACAATAATAAGCTTTTGTTCCCTCCTGCCCCAGAGCCTGTGCCCCTTTCCTAGATCCTGGCCGACTAAGTATCCATCACACCAGGATGGTGCAATGTCACCCTGGAGTGCAGGGCCACAGAGGACCTGAAGGTGACCTGGGCAAGCAAGGGCCTCCCCAGGGAGCTGGAACAGAGGAACACTGGGGCCAAGCTCTGAGCCCCCCTAAGCCAGCCTGACTCCAGCCTCACCTGTGTGGTCAACAACCATGTGGACCAGAAAACTACCACCTTAGACCTTGGGGAACTCTCTTGGGATTAAGAGTGTGCCTGGCAAAGTGAGTGTGCCCACCTCTGCGGACATTCATTCCCGAGGAGATTGGGGGTATGGTAGGTTGGTGCTCATCATTGTCAAGAAGTATGATTCCAACCTCCCCAGCCCTTGGGACAGTACCAGATGAGATGGGAATCAGAGATAATAAAGGTTGGCATATGACCCAGGAAATTATGGGAGGAGGTACGACGGCTGTACCAGGCACTGATGTTTATCTCGGCTCTGCTCTAAATCCCACTTGAAGGGCCATTGAGTAGACAAGGAATCATATTTGTAATGAGCAAATAAGGAGAGGCAGGTTTTGACTCATGATATTAGAGGAGAGTTTTCTATAGTCAGTCATCCAAAACTGGAATAGATGCTTTGGGGCACAGTGACCTCATGTCACTGGTGGAGTGTAACTACAGGTAAAATCACTTGGTGGGTAGTTATAAAGCTCAGAATGGGGTCAGACTCCCTAGTGAGTTTTCTTCCAACATGGACATTCTTAGATTCTAGGAAAACTTCTTGGCAAAATCAGATTATTTTGAACCCTAAAGTCCCAGTTTCTCCAGAACCATCAGCTGGAGTAGAGTGCGTTCTGTTGAGGCGGTACACCACAGGGAGCATGGCCAGCCCAGGATCCATCACCCCGAAGCTTCTCACGCCCTGCTCTGTTTCTGACCCAACAGAGACTACAACTCTATTCTTATTTCCATTATTGTGGACGATACTGGCAAGAGCTCTTCTGTTCCTCAGCCTCCTTGGGAAGCTGGAAATGGGGCTCACCAAGGAAAATCTCCAGCAGAAGAAGGGAAATTACAAGTGTCCAAGCAGCCTGGACAGCTAGGTTGGGACTTTATTTCCTTTTTCATGCTTTGTCAAGTTTTCTGAATCATAAATGAATGCTTTCTATCTTCTGCCATGTTAAAAAAAAATTTGCTAGCACAAAAATTATCTATTCTTTAAAGATGTGAGGAATTCACATTAGGCTTTGTGAATAGGCTTTGCCTCTTAAGTCATCAAAGGAGAAAACACTTATGTAAGTTTTATAATATTTTCTATGTTCATTTTTTAAAGTTTATACACACATGTAGATCAATTTTATCAAATCATATTTTTCTAGAAATTGTCCATTTAATAAAGATTTAAAATTGAATAGACATTAATTATGCACTATATTCTCTTAAGAGTTTTTCTTATTATTGTTGTTTTGGCTGTTTTAAATATGAGAGGATCTTGTTGAAAGGGTAAGTGATAAATTAGGTGATGTTTCCAGCCCTGAGAGCCACAGAATTCCATTAACCAGTTTATAGCTTTTCTCTTTTAGTCTATTTGCAAAAGCTATTTGGTGGCTCACCTGGTGGCAGGCGGTGTATTGAGGGAGTGTCTTCACCCTCCACACCCTCTACTACAATTTGGAAATGACAGAAATAAGGGTAGATGTTTTGGAGGGATTTTTTTTTTTACTTCTGGAGATTAAATAAAACACTATGTATCTGGATCACGGGAGAGATATAGTAATTCCAGTTGAGATCAAGGCAAGTCTTAATCTCACATATGCACGTGACCAAAGAAAGAATGTCCATCAGAAGGATGGTTAATAAGAAATGGGGCGTAAAGGGAGATGAGTGACAGAGGCAAACGAAGTGCTCCAACAGGCTGGCAGGAGAATCCCATGCCCTGGGCAGGGAAGTCCTACCACGGAGATGGAGAGCTCAGATGAGAAGGCCACTGGGATCCATTCCGGCAGCATCTGCTTACCTGCCCTGACTCAGGGCTTCCCATGTAGTCCAGTGGTAACTCGGCTTCCAATGTGGCCTATCTTTGGGAAGAGGATGCCCTGGTCAAGCTAACAGGGATATCTAGCCCAGTTAGCAAGTATACTTCTCACTGTAAATTAATAAATAAGCCTTCTGGTTTTGTTTACCAGTGTCTTTTAACATTTATTATCAAGATTTTGCATCCCCAAGGCAAAAGGGCAATGGATGAAATGGAGATTCTGGGTTTTGGCTAAGAATCTACATGTCAGACTCTGAACACATGGTGAACACATCAAAGTACAGTTGACCCTTGAACCAGATGAGTTTGAACTGCGCAGGTCCGCATATATGCTGATTTTCTTCAACAGACGTGTACAACAGTACTGTATGATCCATGGATGTTTGAACCCGTGGATGTGGAACTATGAATACAGGGGGCTGATTGTAAAGTTATATGTGAATTTTTGACTGCTCAGGGGGTGGGAGCCCCCTACGTTGTTCAAGAGTCAACTGTAATGCCAAACTGTAGGGCTTTGTCATTCACTCATTCCTTCACTCAACCAACATTTACTGGACTGCATAACATACTAGCACACGCTGAGAAGCATCTTGGAAGACAAACTCACAGCCTTTCTTTGCCATGTACATTCCCATTTGGATTTTATGAAGAGTTCATGTAGGCCCAAGGTTTCAGTTCTCAAGCCTGATCACGAATCAGAATCATCTATTGAGTTTTTAAAAAATATAGATGGTGCCCAGTTTCAGGATAGAGTCCAAGTATCTGTTCCTGAAAGCTCTCCAGTTGATCTAATGAACAGCCCAGATTGTAAGCAATTCACGGGGAGTGTCCATTTGGATCAACCAGACCACTTTGCCTGTACTATATAGACAGATCTACACATATTTGGGGTTATTTCAATAAAGATCCTGAAGGCATCAATCAATACAAAAGAAAGTGAAAATAAGCATAAGTACGTTAACTGGTTTAGATGATAAACTTCCTGTTGGTGTATATGTGGCTTTATCTACCTGAAGCACAGCTCTGATCATGTCACTGTCCTGCTAAAAATTTTTAATAGGTAATTTTTTTGATTAGTGTTATAAAGAAACTGATGATACAGAAAAAGAGACCGCAGAAGATAACCATTGTTAACTTCTTAACCTACTAGCTTTTAGACTATTTTATGCCCACATAAACATATTTATATATATTTACAATATAGGATAACACTATGCATGCTCCATAACTCATTTAATATTTCATGGGCAACTTTCCATTCAAATATATAAAGATGTAATTTGTAACTTATTCTCCTTATTACATAAATAGTATTCCCTCATGTGGAGAGAGTATGCTTTATTTAATTGGTATACAGTGGTCAAGAGCTTTCGACTCCAACTCCAAGATTTCAATTCCAGCTCTGCTACCTGTTAGTTATGTGACCTTGAGTAAGTTCATTAATTTATCAGTGTTGTGGTTTCCTGGGAATAATAATGGTATTTGCATAATAGGACTGCAGTTTATACTTTGAGGCCTCAGTACCCACCTGTCTTTAAACTACAGCCCAGAATAAATGTACCCTGTCACACAGCCTTGTGAAAGTACTATGGAGAAAAATAGACCATGGAGGAGAGAGGAGAGCACCGGGAAGTGTTTGCGGTTTTATATAGGGAGGTCAGGGTGGGTCTTACTGAAGAGTTAACATCTGTACAGAGACCTGAAGGAGGTGAGGGGACGAGACGTGTGGGTATCTAGAGGGAGAGAATTCTAGAGAGCAAAGGCCTTGAGGAAGGAGCATGCATGTAGTATCGAAGGAATGGCAAGGAGCCCAGTGTCCTAGAGGGGATTAGGAAGGAGGGGAGCATGGGAGATGAGGTCAGCTGATACAGGGCCTTCCAGATAAAGTGGGCCCATGGGGTAGTTCTGAGCTAACGAGTAATGTGACTCAACTTAGGTTCTGAAAAGATAAGTCTGGGTGATATTATGAAAATAGACATTAAAGGATTAAAGACAAAAGTAGGAGACTCGGAGGCTACTGCAGTAATCCAGGTGAGAAATGATGACCCTATTGGACTAGGGAGGTGGTGAGAAGTATTTTATTATAAGTATAATTTTTTCATATAGGTATATGAAAATAAGTATTTGAATATATATAGAATGAAAAGATATCAGTATTTTCTAATAGAGGGTGGGGTGTGAGAAAAATAATGAAGTCAAGGATGACACCAAGGTTTTGTGGCCAGAAGAAATGGAAGGGTTGAGGTGACATTTGGAGGGATCAGAAATTGTATAGGAAGCATGTTTGGGGAGTTTGAATTTAGATATGTCAAGATGGAGATGCTTGTTATACACGCAAGTGGAGATGTCAAGTAAACAGTTGGATATTTACAATGTGGAGTCCAGGGGAGGGATCATATCTTTAAGTCCCTTTTGCCACATAAGGTCATGTAGTCATGGGATTACTGCATGGCCATAACATCAAAAAGAAATGAGTGTAGACAGTGAAGAGACGTGGTCTGGGTGGTCTGGGTATGAACCCTGGGTTATTCCAAAATTTAGAAGTTGGAGATATCGGAAAGATAATGATAAAGGAAATTAAGGAGCAACCACCCAGTAGGAGGAAAATAATGTGAATAGTGAATGCAAAGCGAAAACAGTGTTTCCAGAAAATATAGGTCCACTGCGGCTGAGAAGTTATGGGAAATGAGGATTGAGAATTGACCACTGGATTTAACAACACGAAGTTCCCTGGTGACTGGACAAAAGCAGACTCAACAAAGAGGTAGGGGCAATGGATGACAAGAGACAATTCAAGAGAGAAAGAAATTTCTTCAAATAAAGTATACAAATGGTCAATATGCTCATGAAAACATGTTCATCATGAATCATTTGAGACATGCAATTCATAACCACAATGAGATAGCACTTCACCAGCACTAGGATGGCAACAATCAAAAAATAACAAGAGTTGGAGATGATGTGGAGAAATTCTCATACATTGCTGGTGGAAATGTAAAAATGGTGCAGCTGCAGGTGTAAGATGGGAATGAAAGAATAAGAGGAGAATGGAGTACAAGAAGCTTTATGAAGGATAACCCAATGGAAGACAGTAACTTGCTGGATGTCTGGGATGATAGAGAGAAAGGAATCACAGTGTGTGAAATTATTATCCCCTGATATGCCTACATCACTTACACTTGGGAGAACTTCTGTAGGGTACTTAACATCTCTGGATTTTAATTTTCCATTTGTACATTGAGGATATCTGCCTCACATAATTGTTGAATGAAGTTATGAATAACAATGGAAAAGGAAGTTGGCCTGAGAATAGTGATGCTGAAATCCACAATACACATTGAATGAGAGGAAGTAACTCCCACAAGACCCAAGAGGAAGAAGCATCTCTGCTTTTTTTTTTTTTTTTTTTGCGGTACGCGGCCTCTCACTGCTGTGGCCTCTCCCGTTGTGGAGCACAGGTTCTGGACGCGCAGGCTCAGTGGCCATGGCTCACGGACCCAGCTGCTCAGCGGCATGTGGGATCCTTCTGGACCTGGGCACGAACCTGTGTCCCCTGCATCTGCAGGCGGACTCTCAACCACTGCGCCACCAGGGAAGCCCCAAAGCATCTCTGCTTTGAATGTCTCATCTGAGCCAGAGGGCAGGGTCTCTCATTCCATGTCTCCCACCCATATCTCCTACCCCACTGTCCACTTAAGGGACAATTCCTCTTTCAACCACCAACTGCTCCATCCATCATCAGGATGAACTCATTCCAAGTTGGGGCACCTGAGTCAGAAGACCGGGATCCTTGGAAGAGGAACAGATGGAGGATATTCTCCTCTGAATACTCCAGGATTACGAGGTCTTCAGTGACCATGTGGCAAAGGATAAGATATGAATGCTGGAATTGTCCAGTGTCGGATTTAAGGCTTTGCTCTGCCACCAACTATTTTGGGACATTGTTTACTTGTCCTGCAAAATGGGGATAAGTAATACCTACCCTAGAGAGTTCTTATAAGAATAAGAAGAAATGATATTTATAAAATGCCTGGGACAAAACCTGGTTCATGATAGGCTTGGAAAGTCAAGTTCCCTTCCTCTTTCATTTTTCTTTCTCTTCTGCTTTAGGTGGGAGGGGAGGGGTCAATGGGTGGTCACATCTTACAGTGCTTCTGGACTGATGGGCACTGATACCCAGCCATGACCGGTCACCTGGGATGCCAGTGAGAGATGTCATCTTTTTCCTTCTCAGCCTTCTGTTCAGCCTGAGCAGAAAGAGGTTAGAAAGAGCCTTATTATGGAAACTCTGCTCCTCTCTTATTCATGCACCATCTAGCAGGATCCTAGCAAAACGCTCAGTCCTTTAGCTCAGAACTTGGTTTTCTGAGGTCAGAAGTGAAGCAGCTGAGCTTGCTGAGCTGGGAGGGGCACCAAGAGGCCCAGGAATCTAGGCCAGCAGACAAAGAACCACAGATCATAGTATCAGAGTGAGTCCCTCTCTGATTCAAGAGCTGGGACTCAAGGCAGGAGGCGGAGGCTTTGAGGAGGTGAGGACCCCCAGGGAGAGGAGAAGCTTCCAACAATACAGTGCAGGCTACATTAGGTCCTCAGGCAACGTGAAGCTGGATGTGGGTTGGGGAAACCAGGCAGTGTCATTGGAGTTCATCATGTCCTCTTTGCTTCCTTGTGGAGTCACTACCAGAAAGACCTTCAGCAGCCTCTGTGCTCTGGGTCTTGTCTGCTCCCAACTCTCTGTGGGAGTTGGGAGTAAGGGTAGCTCAGACACTTCACAGAGAGAGGTGCTTGTCTCCTTGGCACCGGCCCCCTAAAGCCCCAACACCCTCCTGAGGGAGCCCCAGGTGAGGCTAGCAGGGAAGACTCATGACCAACCCAAAGCAAACCTACGGCAGGGGCCTTGATTATGTCCAAGTTGTCTGAAAAGGACAGGTGTGGGAGAAGAGACTATTTTCAAACCTATGGGAACATGTAGAACATGTGACTTGGAAGGGGGTTTGGGGTTGGAATGGTAGGATTCCAATACACAGGGATGGGAGGAAGGGATAGGGAAAGGGAGCCATCATTTCAGGCCGAGGGATGTGAGTGAGCAAAGAGGAGGCTGACCTAGGATCCGAGGCCAGCAGGGCTGTGGGGTGCTGAGGGTCAGTAGAAGAGGCAGGAGAGGGTTGGCTCAGACCTTCCTACAAGCCTCACCCCTCACCCCTCATAGCAGCCTCGTCAAGGGGAGGTGGGAGAGACATACTGCACTTCCATTCTAATGACCAAGTACCCCTACCCCAGACAAGGAAGGGCTGAAGCTGCTTTCCTAAGAACACAAGTCCCAACTTGGGTCCCTCTCTGAGAAACAGAAGTCTCAGAAGGTCCAGAAACAGTACAAATTCCTTTGCCCACTCCACAAGAGGTGGATTTGAGGTCTACGAGCTGAAACTGAGGTTAGTACTAGTGGTCAGAGAAAAGGGCTGTGGCCCAATGTATAATATACACCAGATACTCCCCCAACATACACACAGACACACACACAAACACACCGCTCGACACAAACCTTTTGCCCTATACAGGGTGCAAAGGAAGCCTCAGGCCAGCCCTCTGTGGGATCCCACCTACCCATGCTGCCTCCACGGACCCCCAACTCAGTTTCCAGCATCAAGGTCCTAACCCCTTCTTCTGCGGCGTGGTCAATATCTTCTACGTAGTCCCCATGCCTGGGCTGTGTTCTCAGAAAGACATATACCAGCCACACAGCAGAGGCTGTGTGAATTATCCTGTGCAGGAAGGTTCTCTTTGGGAAGCTTCAGGAGGAGAGTGGTCAGGATATGAGTTAATGATGGAAAAAGAGCCCTCATCTTGCAGGGTGAGGATCCTGAGTGGGAAGGCAGCTTGGAGAGGTGACAGGGGATATGACAAGGCCATGTATGCCCAGGGAGTTGAGGGCAGGAGGGTCAAAGTAACACAGACCAGGGCAGCTGGAGCTGGACCAGAGCTGAGAGGTGCAGGTGTCTGCAAGGATCAAGCTCCGAGTGGAGGTGTCCTAGGAGTTCCAGTTCTCCTACCTCCTCCAATTAAATTATCTTCATGGCTTCACTTTCTGGCTTATGGACCTCACTGTAGACAGTATTAACAGGCTCCTTTTCTTCTAAATGTCGCTCACCAATACCCTAGGAATGCAAGACAGAGAGCTCCTAGAACAGCTGAGAGAGGCCCCAGAGGGACCCACATGGAACCAATGCTGCTGACGTGAGTTGCACGTGAATTCCCCCAAAGCGCCCAGCACTGCACTGGCCCCAGTTATAAATTTTCTCAGTAAATACCACTGACCACCTGGAAAGAGTTAAAGAGACAGCGGGGCCAGGAAATGCAGATGACTGGGTTGACAGGCCCAGACCCAGGTGAGGACGGACCCAGGAGAGCCCAGGCTGGGCACAGCTCCCAGCTCTCACCTTGCGTGTGCCCTTTCGAGACTCCTGCTGGCTCAGCTCTGCGTACTGGATGCCGCTATCATTGTCCCTGTAGTCCTCCTGCAATTCTGTACCTGAGTCATACACAGAGTGGAGCTTGAACCTGGGCCTTGAAAACCCTTACGCTCCCCCACTGTTATGAACCCCAAGGCCAAGGCCACACCCACCATTCCCTCTGCAGAGAGATTCCTTGAGCAGCAACATGCAGAAGGAAAGGAACCAAGGGTCCAGTGGGGGAGGGGAGGTATCAGGGCAGGAGGGGGAAGTGCAACCTGCCTCTTCCAGTCTCCATTTTCTTCTTCTTCTCACGTGTCTTCCAAAGGTACAGTCCTCCTCCAAGGATCAACAGCACAGCCACGACAGCCCCTAGGATGCCTGGCAGGGGGTCAGCACGGACCTGTCCTTGTGAATCTGTTTCCCTCACACAGAGAGAATGAAGAAAGTTAAGGCAAGACAGAACCTAAAATACCCATTGGCAAGGGGAGATAGAGAGAGAGCAGGTGGAGAGCTCTGAAGGATCCAGGTTCAGAAGCTGAAGAGGGTGGAGCATGTCAGGTTCATCCATTCAACCAGGTCCTGAGCTCCTGCTTGGTGCCAGGGGTACTGCGATGAGCAAGATGGGGTCACCCAGGGGGGGAAGACTGAGAAAATACCAAAGTCTGCCAGCCAGAGGGACTGCAGTGCAATAGAGGTTTACACCTTGTACACATGTCTTCAGGGAGGGCCTCCCAGAGGAGGTGATGCGTAAACTGAGTCTTGAGGGAGGAATAGGAGTTAACTAGTATTCAGCGTGGGCACAGAATTCCAGGAAGGAGGGGCACCACATTTGAGAAATGACTGTGTCAAATCGCCAGCCCTGGGAGCTGCCATCATCCCACTGCAGCAGGGAGGAGCCAGGTGAGGAGGATCAGAGGGAGAAGAGTCTCTTTCCAGAGGGTTTTTTTTTTTTTTTTTTTTGCGGTACGCGGGCCTCTCAGTGTTGTGGCCTCTCCCGTTGTGGAGCACAGGCTCCGGACGCGCAGGCTCAGTGGCCATGGCTCACGGGCCCAGCTGCTCCGCGGCACGTGGGATCTTCCCGGACTGGGGCACGAACCCACAACCCCTGCATCGGGAGGCGGACTCCCAACCACTGCGACACCAGGGAAGCCCTCCAGAGGGTTTTGTGGGTCATGCTGAGCACTGAACTTTATCTGAGACTTCAGGATGGGGCTGAGGGGAGAGTAATGTGGGATTTTAAGTGATGCTGACACCTCAGTTCCTCCCAGCAGCTCATGGGGGATGGGTGAGAGGGGCAAGACTACACTCAGGATACCGGGTCATTCATTCATTCAATGAAATCCTGAACTGTGAGCAGTGCCAGGAGCTTTGCTTGGTACATGAATTCAAAGGAGAAAAAGACATGACCTCTGCCCTCAAGGTGTTCCAGGCTACAGCAGAGACAAACCCATAAGCAGCTTTGCTATTTAGTGTGGGGTGGCTATGGACTGCTCCTTAAAGGGGATGATGCTTGAGGGCAGGACAGTTATAGCACCTGCAGGGCCCTGTGCCACATGAGATTGAGACACCCTTGTTCAAACTTTATTAATATCAGAACTATAACCAACCACAGGATCCTGTGTTACTGTGCTGGTCGCATGCCTATGACCTGAGGGAAATCCTTGAACAGGAATAAGCAAGGAAATGAAGG